TGTGTGGGCATGGCCTTCTCCTGAGGATACTGGGAATCCCTGTCTTCCTCCCTGGAGGTGGTACACACAATCTCCCTGCGAGACATTCCTGTTGACAAGCCACATGGAGCTACACTGATGGATCCGGAGCCCTGGAGCTGAAGGAGTCACATGGAGACCCACACCAGTGCTGAGATGCTTCCATCACCACTGGATCCACAAGACTTTCCACTCACTGGTCTGTGATCTTCTTGCATTCAGCATCATCGCATGTGTTGTGTGAGTCTGAAGAGGAATTTATATGCTGGTATCGGGCATATGGGCTAATATCGGACTAATGGACTTCATCTGGACTGGGCTGGGATGTTTTCTTAATATACAGTTACTCTTGATATAAAGCTCTTTCTTATACACATATGAGTGTCTATGAATTTCGCTTCCCTAGTTTACCCGGACTAACACAGGTGTATTCAGATACATGTGCTGCATGTTGTTGTTGTTAGGTGCTGTCCAGCCAGGTGCAACACATAATGACTCTATGTACAACAGAACACTGCCTGGTCTTGTACCAATCTCACAATTGTTCTTAGGTTTGAGCCCGTTGATGTACCCACTGTGTCACTCCACTTTGTCAAGGGCTTTCCTTACCAAGCATGACATCTTTCTCCAGGGACTAGTCTCTCCCCACAACATGTCGAAAGTATGTGAAAATGAAGTCTCGCCCTCTTTTCCTCTAAGAAGCATTCTGACTGTACTTCTCCCAACCTTTGTTTCCAGCTAATGTGTTCTGTGCTGCTTGAACTTGTTTCTTCAGCGAGGTAATTAGTTTATTGTGCCAACCTGGCCGATAAACACATGTAGGGTTAATCGAAGGGTGGAGGGATAAATGGCTCAGTGAGCCTCGCCTTTCGAGGTCTCTTGCTTTGTGATGGTCGCACCAGGGTGCAGCTGCCTTAGCCGTTCCCTGCTTCAGCTGGCAAGGCTCTCTTCCTGCCAGATATCCCCGAGGAGAAGCCACATGGACCTACCCCGATGCAGCGCTGGGTGCTGGAGCAGCCATGTGGAGAGCCCTGCCAGCATTGAGATGCTTACATGTTCACTGATTCAGCTTTCCTCCTGCAGTCAGCATCATAGCATGTGTGTTTTGTGAGATGGAGGAGGACTTTGTGGATTGGTGTTGGACATATGGGTCAATGTTGGACTTGTGGGCTTGGGCAGCACTGGGTTGGGATGTTTTTTTGATGTGCACTTAACCTTTACATAAAACTCTCTCTTATACATCTGAGTCTGTGGATTTGTTTATCAAAAGTACCCAGACTAACACATTCAATATAATTGGTTCTGGCTTATATGCTATGTCTTGGAATTGTTGAATGTCAACTAGTTCTTTTTCATACAGTGACTATATTCTTTCCATCTTCTTTGGCTGCTTTCTGCATCATTCAATATTTTGCTGATAGACTCTTTCAATATTACAACCTAAGGCTTGCATTTTTTTTTTTGGAGTTTTTTCAGTTTAAGATATTCTGAGAGTATTTTCCTTTTTGGTTTTCTAACTCTAGGTCTTTACATTGCATTATAATACTTTAGTTTGTGTTCTCAAGCTGTCTCTTCAAATTTTCTGTCTGCTCTTTTAAATAATCATTTCTTCCATTTACTTTAGCAATCCTGTGATTAAGAGAAAAGTTCAGGTCTCTCTTCTGACATGCACTTGTATCTTTTCTTTATTTCCTGTCTTTTTAATGATGTTTTTTATGTCGTCCCACAGCTCACCAGGTCTTCTGGCATTAGTCTTCAGTGCATCTAATCTGTTCTTGAAATGTTCTTAAAATTCAGGTGAGATATATTCAACGTAGTTTGGCTCTCATGGACTTGTTTTAATTTTCTTTAGCTTCAACCTGAACTTAAACAAGAACAACTGATAGTCTGTTTCACAGTCAGTCCTTGGCCTCCTTTTGGCTGTTGATATTGAGCTTCTCCATCTTCTCTTCCCACAGTTGTAGTCAATTTGATTTTTGTGGATTCTATATGGAGAAGTTCATGTGTGCAGTCACCTTTCGTGTTGCTGAAAAAAGGTACTTGCTATGAACAAGTCATTAGTCTTGCAAAATTCTAACATGTGATCTCCAGCTTCATTTCCACTCAGCAAGACTTTATTTCCAAACTATTGTTCTTTGCTCTTTATTTCCAGCTTTTGCATTCCAATCACCAATAATCATCAAGGCATCTTCATCACATGTTTGATCAATTTCTAACCGAAAGCATTGGCAGAATTCTTTAAGGTCTGCATCCCTAGCTGTAGTGGTTGGTGCGTACATTGAATGGTAGTAGTACTGGTAGATCTTAACATGCCCTTTTTAAACTGATGAATGCGATGCCTTTCCTCTTTAATCAATCATTCCTGGCATAGTAATACTATGAGACAATTTTCTGATCCCATATGGGTAATACCAGTCCACTGCAGCTCACTAATGGCTACAATGTCGATCTTTATGCATTCCACTTCACCTTTGACAGCTTCCAATTTCCCTAGATTCATACTTTGTATATTCCAAGTTCCAGTCATTAATTAATGTTTGCTGTTATTTCGTCTAATTTTGAGTCCCCAGGAAACGAAGGCTTTATTCCTGCAGGCTTTACTCCATCTGCATTATTACCATCAACCCTACACTGAGAAAGCAGCTCTACTTCCATGTTATTTTGAGTGCCCTCTGACCTGAGGGGCCCATCTTCTGGCGCTATTTATGACAAGGCTGTTCTTCTTATCATGAGGTTTTCTGTCTCTGATGATGCTTTGAGGATATCCATAAGGTTTTCAGTGGCTAATTCCTCAGAAACACTCCTTCTTTGTGCTGTATGTATCATGTATATTTTGTGACTGTGTGCTGCGTGTATGTCCACATAGGGGCAAAGTTAAGGAAACTTCTTACATGTAACCAAACACCTCATGGAACTCAGCTACTGAGCTGGAAGGTGGACGCCTATAGTCTCGGTAGACAGCTAGATCAATTGGCATAGCATAGTTCATACAGATAGTGTTCTGCATGTTACTCTGCCGAGTCGTGTCTGGGGCTTTAAAAGCTCACAAATGGCCATACTGCTTTGGTGTTTTCCGAACAGAAAGTAAAGGGAAGAAAACCAAAGAGTCAAGGAAGCAATTAGTCCAAAGGACTCATGAACCACAGGAACCACATCCTCCTCTAGCTCCAGCGAACGCCACCCACCTTTCTGACCAGGGCACAAAAGAAGGCCCTGGTTAGAATGGATAGAAAATATAGCACAAATTAAAATGAATTGAAAAATAAAGACTAGAAATACCCATGTGATAGAAATTGGAGGGGCCCCAAGACAGTTTACCCTAGGCCACCTTTCTCACCTGGACCTAAAGCCATTCCCTGAGGCCGGCTCTGCGAAGAACAATAGTTGGCATGTGAAAGAAACACTCACGCCTGTGGGGAATGTGCTCCTTGCACCCGTCCACCACATGCAGCCCAAGCAACCTCTCTGCCCAGAGGCACAGACGAGAAGGCTGGGAGGGGCGGGCAGGCAATCCAGATGACTGGCCAGGGGGTGGGGGAACACAGGGGTGGGGTGTGGGGAGTGATGGTACATTGCAGGGATGGCAACCAATGTCCAGGAACAATCTGGGTATGAACTCTTAAACAGAAAATTAATTTGCTGTGTATGAAGCACAATGAATTGTTAGAAAATGAAATCAAAAGTACTGAACACACGAATAAGTTTAAAACAGCAATTAATATCATTGCTTGAAATGCCTTCTGTTATTTGCACTATCTGTTACACACATGTGATTTTAACACCATATACTGTTTTGTGTTACTTGTTCATTGAAAAATCGTTCATGCACATAAGAATAAAGCACATTAAAACACGTGTCTACCATGCATACACTCTTATCATCAGGAGTTGGGCTCCTCTCATTTTTCAGAAGCTGTAAAAGGGAAAGTGTTTCGGTCAAGGTTAGAACACGGACACCACACCAAGACCACAGTGGAGGTTACTAGAGTCCCCAGTTAGTACACTCTGTGAAACATTAACCTGCCAGCTACACTGAATAGCCCCCTGGGGTCCTCCTTTAGCCTTAAGGAGATAGGCCTTGGAGCTGAGACAATCGATGCACTTTTTGATGCTTGGCCATGAAATTGATCACTTTTCATTGGCCTCTCTGGGTTCATGCAGTCAGTGGGGTTAGCACTGAAGCTGAGCTGAGGGATGTCGTGGGGTGGGGTGTGTGTCAGAAACTCAAGCCCTGCCCTTTTCTTGATCTGGTGGCATCCATTTATTCTGCTGATGACAGCTGGTCTGATTGTGCAGGTTAGCAGTTTCTGGATGTTGACACGCTGATTCATGCTTTCTT